AGATGTGTACTGTCGCCAGCTATCCAATTTGGCGGAAAAAATTAAAGAAAAGGAGCCGGCACTAGCTAATCGCAAGGGTATAGTCTTTCACCATGACAACGCTAGGCCCCACACATCTTTGGTCACTCGGCAAAAATTAACGGAGCTGAATTGGGAAGTGCTACCACATCCACCTTATAGTCCGGACTTAGCACCTTCAGATTACCATTTGTTTCGCTCTCTTCAAAACTCTTTGAATGGTAAAAACTTTGATTCAGATGAGGCTGTCAAAAACCACTTGTCTCGATTCTTTGCTGGAAAAGACCAAAAGTTCTTCGAGCGCGGAATTATGCAGCTGCCCGAGAGATGGTCATTAGTGGTCGAACAAAACGGCCAATACATAATTGATTAATTATAAGTCCTGATATAAATAAATCATCTTTGAAAATATTGAAAAAAAACGACATGACTTTCTTGCCAACCCAATAGAATGGATTATAGAGATACAAGCAAAACAAGCAAAAACCCCATTAGATTTGGTCTGTTTTTGGGTTTCTTTCATATTTTTGCACACGCACTCAACATTTTGGCTGTTCACTAAAATATCAGTTTTTGATTTTCTTCTAGGAAAAGTCCCGAAAATGTTTGTAATTTGGTAAAAATGTGTTTTAATGAAGACCATTATTATAAATTGAACCATAATACACTATACCTATAGAAAAAAATTAACTTTAGTGGGTAGAGGACCTCATTGCTTCAAGGAAGAAAGGAAAAATTGATTGAGCTTAGAAAGGAGGGCAAAACGTATCAATATATTCAGTGTCCCTTAAAATGTCCAGCCAATAAGGTTTACAATGCCATAAATTATGAACCGAAGCCCGAAAAACGTTATGCGATACGGAAAACCACAATTATAGAGGACGTTCGCAAAGTGCGCTTCAGCAAAACTTATCCTTTTGCATCCTGTAGGACTATAAAAGCAGATCCGAGTTTGAGAATCAGGGATGGCACTATTCTCCGAAGTCTGTTCGATGAAAATTTGAATGCTAGAATTCCACCAAAGGAGCCATTACTTTGTAAAAGACACCCCAAAGACAGGTTGAAGTTCGCCAAAAGCCACTTGAACTAGCCACTTTTAAAAGGTCGATATATCTTTTTGGACAGATGAGTCTTAGCTTGTGTTTTTTGGTGGAACAGGTTCAAAATAGTGTGTCCGTCGACCACCAAACACCGGGTACCACCCAAAACAAAATCTCAAGACCGTTAAGCAGGTGGCCCTAAAATCATGGTATGGGCATGTTTCTCATACAGCGGTGTGGGCCCCATACGTTTGATCGATGAGATCATGGACCAACATGTTTACGTAAATATACTTAGAAACGTCATTCTGTCGTATACTGATGATGAAATGTCCTAAATATGGACATTTCAGCAGGACAATGATCCCAAACACAATGCCGTGTCCAGCACAACCCCGTACTTAAATCCGATTGAGAACTTATCGAGGGACAAGCGTTATGTTGCCAAGAAATCCCCGACTTCTAAGCCGCAGCTTTGGCAAGTTGTGCAGGAGGGTAAACGTTGCAAGGACTTGGTGGACTCCATGCCACGTAGGTGTTAACTTGTAATAGCCAATAGAGGCTATACAACAAAATATTGGGTCGAAATCAAATCGATATTTAGTAGGATTAAGTTATTTATGAGCCATATTGAATTTTATCATATTTTTTTTTAAGACTGCTATTTGAATGAACACCATATTTCAGTCTTTCTTTTCTGTTATTATCCAAATTTGCTAAAATATTAAAGTATCCAACAGGAAAAAACAGCTAAATTGTTTAAAAATAAATAATTAAAACTGTTGTATCTAAGTTTTGTTTAAATGTTGTGTTTATAATAGTGTTTTTCGATTTTATACGTGCAGGTCGTATGCTGCTATTTCAATGAACATATATTCTTGATCAGGAGCACTACTCGAGTCGAACTAGCCATGTCCGTCCATATCAGTAATATAATTACGCTTGTGTTTACAAAACGACCAAGAGTTTTTTTTTCTTCAAATTTATTTCCGAGATATCCGCGTACATATTTACGATTTTTTAAAGTTTTTGGGGCGTTAAAGTGGGCGTGGCACGCTGCTGAAACAAACTTGCGCTGCGTAAGAAGCTCAGGAATCTGCATGCCAAATCTCAATAGCCTACCTCCTATACTTTCCGAGATCTCAGTGTTCATCCGGACAAACGGACATGGCTAGATCGACTCGGCTAGTGATCCTGATCAAGAATATATATACTTTATGGGGTCGGAAACGCTTCCTTCTGACTGTTACATAGTTTTCGACGAATCTAGTATACCCTTTTACTCTACGAGTAACGGGTATAAAAACGTAAAGGGTATCCGACTGTGCATTAAACTCGACGTTCTTTGCACAAAATACGCATACTTTTTCTGATCGAAAATAAGCCCATTTTGTTACATTTTTTTTATTAAAATAACATGTTTGCACGCATAATTTTACTGGCAATTGTATGTTTTGCTCTTCTTTCTAAGCTTAATTAATTTTTCTCTTTCTCCCTTGAAACAATGAGGTCATCTACCCACTGTAATATAATATAATATTTTTTCATAGTTATTGTGTATTGTCGTATAATTTATAATAATGATCTTAATTAAATTAATATTTCACCATAACATTTACTATACCATACAAATATACTATGCTATGCATATATACATATATATACTATTCAATACCTATATATACTATACTATAGCCATATTTTGTCAACTTAAACTTATTTTAAAAAAGTATTTTCGTATCCCTCCTTTCCGTTTTGCCTTTTAAAAAAGCTCATTTACCTGTGAGTACAAACATATCGACACGCTTTGTCAAAATGGTATAGCTAAACAGAGGCATATTGAATTGCGGCGTGCCGAATGTAAAAAATTTAGGAAGTGTATTTACTTAAATTAAAAGCCGTAGAGTTCTAGAATCTTATATGGAACTGTGTATAACAATTAAAATGACCATGACCCTAAAAAAACGTTTGGATACGCACATAATAAATTCAATGTCCGAAGCTGAGGAATCTTCAGGGCATTCAGTTTAAAGTTTTAACCGAAATCGTTTATCAGAATTAAAAGAAAGCTAACAAATCGAAATAATAAAACGTTTACCCACAATATTTAAACAATGGTATTTAGAAAAGAAAAGGTGTACACAGTATTTCAAACACCTTTCCAAGGACATATAGCACAAGCATCTAGCTTTAAAAAATGGCAAGTTACGGGCGTAGAAAATAAAGTTTTTAATATCCGTTTTCCCGCAAAACTAGCAAGTTTTTCCAAAAGTGGTAAAACTAAAGATTCTTGTATAGAGCTTTTTGACGTTTGCAGCGTTTGGATACGCACAAAATAAGTTCGATGCAATACTCACTGGAAAATGTGGCCATTTTTGTTGATAAATAACTTTAAAACTTGATCTTTTTACAACAATGTGTTTTAAGTTTAAACCAGTGGTCGGCACACACATACAATCACTAGTTTGCCTTGCATTAGTGTGAGTGTAACAACCACGAAGTTTGCGCGCGGTGCGCCGCGGCGTGCTGAAGCCTGACGTTTCTCTGGTTTGCACTGAGATCCTCTGCCGCAGCAACAAAAAAGCACGCCGAAGCTGAGAAAAAAATGACCCGAAGACCCATGCCGAAGTCACACGAACATCTACGTTATACGTGAGCGAGTAGAGAATGGGCAGAACACTTCCCTATGCTCACTAGATAGGCCGCTGCCGACCCCTGGTTTAAACCAAAATCGTTACAGTCGTTTCTAAAAAAAAATGTAAAATCCTTTAAAAACGGAATAAAAAAAACGTTTGACCCAATTTTTGAACAATGTTATTTTAACCATGTTAAAGCGTACGCAGTACTTAAAAATACCTTTCTAGCGATATATGTAAGTGTTAATGTTAAGTTAAAGAATTTCGTTTTAAATTTAATAAAAATCGGACGACTCTAACATGTAGCTGTTAAAGAAACGGTCAAAGAAATAATCAAATATTTATTTAAAAAAATTTTTGATTTTGATGGTATTTTCTTTTACTTTGGGATATAGAATATTTAACTTTTCAGCATTACGAATTTAATGTTACACAAATATCACTGAAGCTAGCAACAATCCTTAAAAATTTAACATGGTGTTACTAACATTGATTATTTGTTATAACTGCAAGGGTATACAAACTTCGGCTTGCCGAAGTTAACTTCCTTTCTTGTTTTTGCGATAACTTCGATTGATGTATCACTCGTTACGATCGGACTATCACAGTAAATTTTCATGCATTCGTGTATATAAGTAGTCGTCTTCGCACACTCTTCTGGTGCACTTCACTACGTGGAATGCCGTCCACAGTGGTAAACACAATATAAGCAAAATTAAACAAAATATAACATATGTTTGTTTTGCATCCAAAGCTGAACAAAATATTGTTTTTGGTTTTGTTTGCTTTATCAATACACAACATATGTACACGCTTCGACTTTTGCCGATGGCTAATTTGTTTCGTGTTTTGTCGCTCCCTTTTCTTCTGCATTAAAATGCGACACAAAAATGTACAAAATCTACCAAAAAAACTTTAAAAAAGCTTGAAAAATAAAAACAAAGCATTTGGGTATCGATTTGCCTTTTTGAAAATTAAACAGTGTTTTTCAGTTTGGCCTACTAATGATATGGGATTTCAAAAGTTAGTTTTCGTTTATGATTTGCCCTTTTCAAAATAAATTTTTGGTAAAAAAAAATACTGCGACTATATCACTTACTTTAGAAAAACATTCACATGGTGGTGCCACAGAAAACGCTTAGATTTTGATTTATGTTTCTGTTAATGTACATAAGAACTTCGGACGAATTCAGCGCCAAGAAACCCGTCATTTACAAATATTTTATATTGTAACATGCCCTTTATTTTTTAAAGAGCGGTGTTTGGCTAATACATTAATAACGGTATACAAATATTTGTATTTCAGATGAAAAGCATCGTGGAGAAGAAAATCCTAAATTAAATCATCCCCGGAACCGATTCGACAGGTACATAAAAATATTAATGAGGGCAATATATTGACCGAATATTTGGACTATACCGGCGAAATACCTGGTTTTACATATTTATACCCGTTACTCGTAAAGTAAAAGGTTATACAAGATTCACGCGGAGCTCAAGTTTGTTTGTTAGTCAGCAAAGTGTCATCCCTACTCTAAAGCCCATAAAGCGTCCCAACCTGTAGCCTATACAGGTTTTTTTTTCATAATATAAAGGTGTACTTATTGTGAAAACATTCGAGACATGTTTATAATGTTATAAAACGGGGTCCAAGCTTCTTTTACAGCAATGGAAGAATTTGCCGAAGTATCTTTTAAACGGTTTGCCTGGACATGGTTATTTCCCTATCTTATTTAGTTGCTCTTTGGAAAGTGACCCAATACCACGCAGTTGCCAAATGCAAATGTCTGTCAATCTCTATCATTTCAAGGATCTGTAAAAAGGTATTTTTATACCCGTTACTCGTAGACGAAAAGGGTGTACTAGATTCGTTGGAAAGTATGTAACAGGTAAAAGGAAGCGCTTCCGAACGTATAAAGTGTATATATTCTTGAACAGGATCACTAGCCGAGTCGACCTACCCATGTCCGTCTGTCCGTCCGGATGAAAGCTGAGATCACGGAAACTACAATAGCTAGAGAGTTGGGACTTGGTATGTAGATTCCTGAGCTTCTTGCGCAGCGCAAGTTTGTTTCAGCAGGGTGCCACGTCAACTATTACGACCACAAACAGCCCAAAACTGTGTCTACTACAGTTTTGATGCTAGAATGCAAATTTTAACTGAAATGTATTGTTCTCATCAATACCTATCGATTGACCCACGCCCACTTTAACGTCCAAATATCGCCCACAAACTTCAAAAAACCATAAGTATGAACGCGGATATCTCGGAAACTATCAAAGATAGAGAATTGGGATTTCAGATTTAGATTCCGTAGCCTTGTACGCAGCGCAAGTTTGTTTTTTCATGCTAGAAACAAATTTTACATGAAATGTATTATTAATTTTGAATAAAATTTAAACCAAATTTAACGACTTCATCATATATCTTCCATAGAAATGATCGGATAATTAATGTCAAATTAATACCTAGACCTTTATATTTTTTTTTGGTAAACGTACACGGTTGTAAATTGAAATAGAACAAGATCTTAAAATAATAGTAATTAATTTTTAGTTTTTATTTTAAGTCTGAGAGCTATGTACATATGTACAAAGCTACCATGGGAACGACCTGCAAGGGTATAGAAACTTCGGTTTGCCGAAGCTAGCTTCCTTTTTGGTTTCTGGTTGATTTTTGTGAACTATAAATTAATTAATTTAAATTAACGTAACTTGTTCAATTCGAACCCAGAACTGAATTTATTTTTCAAAGTGTTTCTTGAAGAAAAAATAAAAATGTTTCTTATCTGCATAGAGTTTTAGTCTTATCAGTTAGTTCTTATCAGTTTTTCATTTTACTTTAAAATTGTTAAAAGTAAAAAAATTACGCCAATATTTAGCTCCGCTGGACTTTTGCCATCGAACTTTTACAGGAATATGCTCAATAGCAACTTTGTGCTTCTTAACTTTAAAAAAATATGGATTTTTGGAAAAGTGACATTTAAAAAATATATATATGGGCATTTCCAGAGGTCGCGAACGTACGTTCGTACTCACTTTGTGCAAATAAAAAAAAGAAAATATGTAAAATATGTAAATGATAGGGGTTTATTGAGCTATCATTTTCATAATATTGGCAAAAAACGTGCGGTCGCGAACGTACACAAAATGGAAGTCGACTTTGGCTTAATCTACACTCAGGGAAAAACACCGTGCTAAAAACACCGTGCTAAAAACAAGTTCAAATAGCCTCGATTTAAGAAAAATAGCATGCTTATCATTGAAGAACGTTCGTGCTCAAAAATTCTCATATTAAGCACCTTTTGGAATTTTAATGTTTGCCAACTCTAATAATTCCCAACTGTTTATTCTGAAAGTACCCGGTATATAAGGCGCATAACATAGACAGTGTTAATGCCCGTGAGCGGCAAGTCGTAAGTAAACTTAAAATATTAATATTATTTATAAATATCTCGTTTATTTCGTTTCAGTTTCCAATACTTATTTTTCTTACTAGCATAAAAAAACTCATTTTAATTTCATAATAATTATATATTGATTGAAGAATTATTCGTCCTTAAACCATGTTTGCAACTTTCTTACTTTATTATTAAATCGTTCTTGTTTTTAGTCCAAATATGACTTCATTTAAGAATTATTCATACTTTATTGAAGACTGAAAGGTTCTTAAATCTAGTGTTTTCAGTCTTGAAAATTCGTGCTCGAAAGCAGGATTTTGTTCTCGCGTTCTGAATTTTCCATGCTTGGCGAAGTTTTGACACCGAAAATACTAGGTTCAAGCACGAAATACTTGATTTTTTTTCTGAGTGTTGTAAAATGCAAAAATCTGCGAATCGGGACGGAATATTCTAAAGCAATGCTGTTTGTGCTTTGCCATTGGACGGTGATACTGTACGCTGCTGCAGCAGTACCGCCCTCTACGTTAAAGTTATTTTTAATGATAATTATTTTATTTAAATTATGTAACATTTACATAATTATTTTTTATTTTAAAAGTTTTTCCACAGTTATTTGTGACATTTTAAAATAAAGGTTTTTTTACAAAAATAATAGTATTTTCTTTGCCAAAAATAAGTCTTAAAAACCATCGGGGCTTATCAAAACTTTTTACAAAAATATTTTTTTTTTTCATGTTTCTAACAACATCTGTTTGATTCGGGATTTCAAAGGGATTTTATTGGGTTTGAATTAACAAAATTAGTTTTGAATTTATCATAGCTAGCAAATAATTCTATACCGTCTTTCGTTTTGCGGTCTGCACTCGAACACAAGCGAAAAAGACGATGAACTCTGAAGAGAACTTTTCGTTTCTCTTTGTTTTGGTTTTCGGTTAACTGTTCTCAGTTACGTAGTTCTTGTTATGCTCACTCAACAACAACTTAAAGAGAGCAATCCAACTGAACGCTCGCTCATTGAGGGTCGGCAGAAGATCGAAAAAACGAAAGACTCATCGTAAACGGTCTTTTGTCTTCAGTGCCTTTTTAACATCGCTTAGCAACAACTTTAACATTAGATCTAAACATTAGACACTTCAAACGCACCGAATCCACAAAAGCAAGTGTGGTTTACAAGTAAACTGATCATTCGCATATACACTCATACAAATGCAAAAAACTTTTATTTTCTTCATTGCAAAATCGGTAAGCGAATAAGCAGAGAAAAAAGGAAACACGAAATTGGTTTTTGGTTGAGCACAGACACTGGGCACTGGACACTGGTGAACGGTTCTTGTCTGACTTTTTCTGCAAGTGGTGCGCAAAAAACTGTTTTTTGGTGACTGCAAGAAACGGTCAACTGATATTTGCGAGCTCTGGAATTTATAGTTTGGGAACGACCACCGCCTAAGCATGCGGGTCAAATTTGTTTTTTGTCAAGTCTTAAATCTTAGCTGTCCTAGTCACACGCATTTTAACTGTGTTTTTAATGCACTGCCATAGAGCAGTTGCTTAGCTGTTCCAGTTGTTTGACCAAATATCTTTCTAACGGCTCGGAACTCAGCAACTGATCTTATCGTGAAAAAGGGATATTGCTATCCTTGTCTTTTTAAGGAAATGACCTTCAGCTTATGACCTTCTTGGTTGCACCAAAACATTGTACATTATTTATCTAAAGAAGGTTTAAAAGGTTTTGTTTAAAAAAGGATTTGTTTATAAAAAGGATTTGTTAATGAATTATATGCGAGAAAGGTGTTTTAAAAACTTACAATAGTTCCTATTCAACTTTCACTACGCTTGAAATCCCATCCTTGATCAATTTGCTAATTCAAGGAGTTGCTCTTAGAGTTGTGCGCGTGTCAAAATTTCTCAACACGACACCGCACGAACACAAAACTGGAATTGCCAGCGCACGCACGAAAGTGAAACGATTAAATAATTTTGAAACACGACACGAACACGCACGAAATAAATATATATTTTATTAAAATTTTTAATTTAATATAGACTTTATTTTCGACTATTAAACAGTTGGATTTTTTTGTTACATGTTTTTATTTAGAAATAAAAGTTTTTCTAAATTAGAGCTTCTAGTCCTTCTTTCGTTAAGTATATGTAGATGTAGAGAATTCCTTCTCATTTGTTGCACAGCTAACTGGGATGCTTAAAATATTCCTTGCAATTCTTGCAATAACTTTATATGATTGGCATTTCTCCAATAACTTAAAATATCGTCTTTTGAGCTTTGAAAAAAATTTTATATTTCCAAAACAACATCATTTTTGTCAAGCCTCATTTTTTTAGGTTTTCATATTTATACTCCTCAAACTCACTAGTTTCCATCGGTGAAGCCATTCTTAAAACATTGGTAGCATCTCCCATGTCGGTTACGTAAACACCTAACATAATTTTAACAAGTGATAAGACATGATCCTTTAGTTCAACACTAAAAAATCTAAGCTCCTTAAATGGTGGGCTTAGGAAGAGGTCCTACATATTGAATATCATTTGGGCTAAGGTGTTTTTCTAGTGACCTTTATATTAGATTTACAATGTTTTTTTTTTTATTATTCATTAACCCACAAAACATAGATGTGGACGATGGAATGTTTTTCAGAACTGAATTTTTCCGAACATTACTTAAAAAGCTTCAAAAAAGTCTAGAAGTTCTTCCATTATGTCGAAGTCTAATCATTTATTCGCTTTAGCTCGTTCATTTCGAGTAATAATGATTTAATTTCAGATTAAACATCAAAAATACACTAATGGACAATATAATAGGTGTGTTTTTTTTTTCGTTTTTAACTTTTTATTTCTAATTATTATCATCTCTAATCTCAACAAAACAAACTTTTTTCAAAACTTATATTAATTGTCTTTAAACAAAAAGTAACAAAGGTTTCACAAACCCTTTCATAAACAACTAATTT